TTTGCATTGTAACTTGATAAATGTCAGTATGTTGTGGAAATGTCTGTGATTGAGCTAAATGTAGACTCAGTAAAGAGTCAACATCTTTATAGGTTGGCTTGTTTGCTTGGAATTATTTTTCCCTTCCCTATCCTAGTTGTAAGCAGTATTTAAGAGTTTCTTATCCCTGGATATGCCCTTGGAATCTTGTTACCATGGCAACACAAAGCTACTGATAAAACATCCTTTTAAAACTCAAATCAGTCTTTTACTTAGAGTTGTAATTAGGATGTTTGCTGGTAGCATTGTGGATTTGTATGTATATGTACACATATACTAACAGCAGCCTGTAAAACAGCTATAGGGTGAATAATCCTAAAGGTGCTGGAAGAAAAACCCATGATGAGGTAAGCCTTCAGGCAGCATGGCAGAGGAGTGTAATGAGGATGAAGGGTGCTGACGGAGTAGGCAGTTGTTTTTCAATGGTTATATGAAGAAACAACCCTCTGTGGGATGTAACTACTGCCAGAAGCTGGCTTCTTTCCTCACAGCAGCTGCAGCATGCTCTCACTTGTTCCAGTTCTGCTCCAAAGTGAAACATGTGAAGAATAGAAATGGATGGAAGAGCTTGCAGCAGCCATTGCGGGTAGAAGGAGCTAAGTTTTGGCATTAGTCCCATTCTGTCTAGTGAAAAGCTTTTCTTCCTTGAGAAGTGGACGATGGGCTACGTAACAGATTCGTCTTAGTAATTGGTATTTTTTTTTTTTTAAGCTCCTCAGATATGGCAGTGCATGTTTTGGTTATTGAACTTGGAAACGGCCCCACCCTGGACATTTTAAACAGGAAGTCACTATCAGAGTAGTAAAAGGATAAGACGCTGACTTTAAAAATTGCATGACACAACTTCTTAGGTTATAAATGCTCATTTATTTATTTTGTACAGCTGTGCAAGATGTTTTATTTAGTCAAAACTTTGTTATGTATTTACAAGATGCTTAATATTAGGAATGATAAAACTGCACTATTAGGGCTTTTACTGGTTTTTATGAAGTGTCTTAAGAGTATCTAGATAATAGTGCTATAGTAGGTTGTCACAGGATAGTAACCACAGCTTGAAATAGGAATAATTTGTGTATATTAGATTTTGCAACTGCCCAACTCTATATTTAAAATTATCACATTACAGATAAATAGCCTTCACAGCTGAATGATTGCATCAGTTTGTGAAGCTGTACACCATTAGAGGGAAAAGAAATCCTTCTTTTTGAGTAACTAAAATATTAGTAAGTAGATTCACCGTAATGTGAATAACACAGAAAACATTAAAAGGTCAAGTTCTATATGCAGTGATTGGTATAAGTGATTAACTATAAACTAGAAGTTTTAAATTAGCACTCTGAAAGTTGTTGGTCTGAGTCTTTATGGTCAGTATGTGAAGTGTTATTCCCACTTTGCAGATCTTTATTCTCTCGGGGAAAAGTCTTGATAATAGAAGGTTCTTTTCTTTAGAAGGTAGTCCCAGTTAAGTGATTCAAAGAAAATATAAACATTTGTGACATTTATGTAGAAGTGGAATGACTAGACAATGAGGTTAGACTATATACACTGGGACAGCACTTCCAGAACACAAATCATCTAAATTTAGGACATGCTTAAATATAATAGGTAACAGATAAATCTGTGGAGCTATTCCTCATTGAACTGTAGGGGGAGCCTAGATGATTATTAGTCATAAAATTAGGTCTCTAATTCTAGCTAAGGTTAAGCAAGATAAATCCTATGTTAAGAGATAAGTAAGCTTTCTGTTAACTGCAGTGAGCCAATGCATTAGGGTTTGGAGTTGCATTTTTTTATAGTTGTGTTTGATAGGCTAACATCACCAATGGACAACGTGCATAAGCAGTGTGTCTGTCTTCAGCAGTGTTCTGGAGAGTAGTGGGTAAACCTGACATTCATGGTAGAAGTCTTTGACCTGTGAAGGACCCAATTGTATTGGTTCCCTATATAGTGAAATAAATATTGCTATAAGTGGTATGTGAATGAGCGAGAACATACGGCTCTCTTCAGTTCTACTGAGATTGACTCTAATGTGTAGTTTTAAGGACAGGAATCATGTTTTCTGTCTAAATAACAGCAAACAAATTGAAACCATTAGTGGGTTAAACTGATTCCCCCCTCATGTATGTTAATGTCAACACCTTCAAGGTCTTGAAGGTCTTCAGGTCATGTGCCTTATTAAAAGGGCACTGGTTCTTAAAGAGTCACAGAGCTTACTCAAGGCCGTATTTGTTTTAAGGGCTGTGACTCTGAGAATGCAAAATACTGTTAACTTGATAATACAGATTCTCTGTGTACCTATATTGTTCATGTTATTTAAAATATGCATAAGCAAATTTATAAAGCTACTTGTCTGATTAGCTTCTTGTTCATAGGAATCTGGGTAATGTTTCAGATGTTCATGTTACAAAAAAGCCTATGTCTGAGAAAGTGTAATGATGGAAATAAATCCAGTGTCTTTTAATGTTTTAACTAGATTCTATTTCACTTTTGCTCTCGTGAGCTCAGTCTTTGCAACAGTAACAGAAGTGCATGCTTAGGTACATTAGCGTGGTGAGATCTTCTGATAGGAACAGAAAAATGACTGTATGCAAAATGTACACTAGAGAGGAAATTGATTACATCTGTACTGGAAATACTTTGCTTCTTCCACACTGAATCATGTAGATTGCATAGTAGAACCATCTGAAAGCAAAATTGCCCTTTTTTTTTAAGAATAGCCTAAACCACCTTCTAAGTAATGCTTCGAGAATTATAATTGAAATTGAGCCACAAGAGAGAAAATCTTAGCATATTTGATTGATTCGCATTCATTGAATCTGTGCAAAGAAAGCTGCCCATTTTTCACCAATAACCAACTTTTGCTTGAAAAAACAAAAACTTCAGTGAAATCTCAAAAACAGGCTTTTATCAAACATTATAAGTAATTAGGAGCTTTTATTTAAGCAGCATCAATTGCTAAATATTGGCCATGTTGCCTTTTTTATGCTGCATAGCTGCTGCTGTCCCATACTTTGAAAGGAAGTAAGATTCTGCATTGTGGGAGAAAGCATATGCTTCAGTCAATACAAAGAAGAAAGAGGTTTGTGTAAAGTAAAAAGAATCTTATCTTATTATTTCTTCTCCCAAAAACAGGTTTTTCTTTCTTCAGAAATATTTCTAGTTTTGTCCTCTGCCTGTGACTTACCTTACTGGTGTTTTGTAAGCAACTCAGGTGATTAGTAATTTTCTTAGTTAATCAGTTAAAGGTGAAGTGCTCTTGAAGGCTATGCCAAGTTCCATTTATGGCATTTTGTTTTTACCTGTTTTGAGATTTGTGAATTGTTCATGTGTTAGCTATACATATGTAATAGCAGCAGTAATAATTAACACTTGCTTAGCATGTGGAATTACAGAACACCCTATGGAGCGTTTGAGTTCAGTGTTTCTAAGGCAAATAAAATTTGCAGCTGTCTATATGATTATAGATTGGAGTTATGGATGCAGACAAGTCAAAGTGATTCTGTGGAAAAATCATGCAAAAGGATGTCAGTATGTATACATGAACCATATGAGTATCTCAGTGGCAGCAGCAGTTCTCTGTCATTTTTAATAGCAAAAGTGAAAACTGTTACGTTTCTGTATGCAGTAAAAAATCAAGAACACCTTGTTGCACCACAAATCTGCTTTATGTTGGAAGAATCTGAAATGCTCAAGCATCTGAATTGCTTTTAGGTCCTCTTTTTCTAATCATATTTTCAGATTTCATTTTCCTTTACCTGATCACCAGATACCTGGACATCTCAGCAGAGTAATGCCACTTAAGAGGATTTCAGACAGTGTTCTATGAGTTGACTATAGAAAATCTGTCTGGCTAGTATGTTTATTTTTTATGTGAAATAGTTGAGACTAGCAGAAATGTTTAAATGTAGGCTTGATTATTTTTTAACTTTGAAACAAATCAATAGAGAGTAAAAAGAAATTTTAGGTGGACTAAAGAAGCCTTTATGTATATTTAAAAAAAACATATGCACACAGACTCTGTTCTACTCAATTACCATATACTCTTAATACAGAGAGAAAAGATTGTAATGATATGCTTTGTCCTTTCCATAAGCAGGACCATGTAAGACATCCTAAAATTTGTAGGTCAGTAATAAGTTTTGAGTCTAAACTCTAAAAAAAAAAAATCATAAATGTTTTCATGAGCCTTTTTACCGTTTGCAATATTCTTTGTAAACAGTGGACATTTGGAACAGAAATACTGAAGCTATTAGTTAGCTATTAGCTATTTATTAGGCATAACTAGGAATGCCTTTCTGAGCTTCTGAAAGCAGAGTACTCTAACTGTAGCAGTCAATGTGTTCATTAATACAGGTCATAATCAACATCTTCCTTGAGTGCACTGCTGCTTGCTTTGGCTTCACACAAATAGTTTAATTATTCTTTTCTGGAACTCAGTTGTTTTTGGAGTTGAGCTTAGAAAGGTGTTTTCACAAGTTCTCCATTTCTTTTTTCTACAATTTCTAATCTTCACTGGAGATTAGGTGTAGGTTGATGGAGGAGTCAAAGGTTGTGGCAGTTGGAATTACTTGCAGGTGGTAGACCTAGGTTGTGGATTTCACTACTCAAAAGATGATTTCTGAAGACTTTTTTGCTCTCCAAGTGAGCGGGTTAACCTTAGGTGAACTTTTATCTCAAATTTCTTTCTTAATGACGATAGCTTCAAACTTGTTTTTTCCACAGGCTCGTGAAGAAGATGAATACTTTTTTCTTTGTTCAGGTACCGAAAAATCAGCAGACTGAGTCAGTTGGAAAAGATGAGGACTTGTAGATACCCAAATGAGTTGGTGATAGTGCATAAATATTTTAGCGGTTTATCAAACTAAAAAAATACATGCCACTATGGCCACTCTTCATAAAATGTAAAACAAATGCGCTGCCCCTAGATTCAGCTGAATTCATATTCTTGCTTTCTAAAGTGAATGAATTTAACCTTCCTAATAACTGTAATGTTGTTGATTCTCTTCCAGTTCTGCCTATGATAACGTCAACAAAGTTCGAGTTGCTATAAAAAAAATCAGTCCTTTTGAGCATCAGACGTATTGCCAGAGAACTCTGAGAGAGATTAAGATTCTGCTGCGCTTCAGGCATGAGAATATTATTGGAATAAATGATATCATCAGAGCTCCAACTATTGAACAAATGAAAGATGTGTATCCTTTTAAAGTTAAAGTTGTTCTTAACAATTAGTGATGGATGCCTTCTCCTTCCCTGTTTTGCATATTTCGCCCTTTCCATTCTCTTATTAAATGTTAATAAAAGTTTATCACCTATTGTTGTGAATTGAAAGGGAAATTTAAAGAGTCCCTGATTTGATACCTAGATGAGCACAAGTTTTGTTTGCTCTTTTTCAGGTAAAGAGACATATGTTCGTTTCTATTTTCCAAGGCAAAGGACACAGCATTGTTGAGATGGACTTAGTTTAGTCACTTAATTCTAGAACTACATTCACTCTCAATAGAGCCTTTGTTAGTACTATCTGATTGCTTTGAGGGGAAAATAAAATGGCTCGACTCTGGTATAATTGTCTAAATTTTCATGAAAGCATATAATTTTTTCTTGAATAATAGAAAGGCTACATCTTTTAAAAAAAAAAAAAAAACAAAAAAAACCCCCCAGAGTTTTATGGTGCTTCTTGCATACGTGAAAAGTTGCAGACTGAACATGGGCAGGTAAAATGCTTGATTAGTGTATGTAAATATGGCCTTTCTGCTGCTGTTCTTCCATAGAAAACTTAGCTTCATGGGATATCTAACGTAAGAAGTAGTCTTAGCCAGGAGACTATACCTGAGATTCAAGGCCTAGTTTAGATTCAGCCAGCTTAACTTGCCCAGGTCTGTATACATGGTTTCCTTTTGGTTTCCCTAGGTCTTTGCAGGTGCCTGCCCAATAAAAAAATCTAGAAACATAGAGGCAGCAATTGAATTCAATGAATCTAGGTCAAATATTTTCACTTCATAAATTAGCAATATGTTGTTTGAGTTCAGTATTATGTGGGAGTCTTGAGGCTGCTTTTCCTTGACCAGTCTGAAGTAACACAAGTGCATACTGCCTCCAAAAAGATGTAGTAGTGCGTTCCAGTCTGTGCCTAGAGGAAAGGATGGAAACACCCAGCTGGGATGGCAATAACAGTGTTTTCCAGTGAAGTCCTGTTCATTTCAGTGAAAAGTGATAATAGAACTATAACCCGAGAGTTAACTTATTCCTATTACAGCAGGGAGGAGAAAAAACACTGTTCTTTATCCCAATCTTAGGGAAAATCATCTGACTGAAAATATTAGGGTTTAAATGTGGTAAACAAAGGACTATTTGTGTTCAGTGTAGCATGATAAACATACAGTAAAGGGGAACAACAGCTGAATTTTTGAACTGGGGAGGTGGCAAAGAGACTGATCAGTTTCTACCTCTTCATGCTTTTATGCTACTGGAAGCAAGTATCTCAAAATCTTATTACTCATTAAACTAAACCAGTCTGTATTTATTGGCAAGCTGTATAGGAATCTGATCAAATTAAGATCCCCAGAAAACTGAGAAACATCTTAATAGTTTCATAACTGTCATGAAATGGACAAATAAGAGACAAAAATTAGGTGACAGAAGTTTCATCTGGTACTGTATGTTGATATCTAACATGAAACTGAGTTTGTTTTGCTGCCTTACATCTGATGCCTTACAGATACATTGTGCAAGATCTTATGGAGACAGATCTTTACAAGCTCTTAAAGACTCAGCACCTCAGCAACGATCACATCTGTTATTTTCTTTACCAGATTCTGAGAGGGTTAAAATATATCCATTCAGCCAATGTGCTTCATCGTGACCTCAAACCTTCAAATTTGCTGCTTAACACCACTTGTGATCTCAAGGTTAGTTGAAGTCTCTTGAACAAATTTTGCTCCTATGGTGTCTTAAAAAACTACCTGCTCTAATCATGAACATTGTTTTGTTACTGGGGGTTAATGGGATTTTCTTATCCTGGGAAGATTGTCAAAATGTTATTGATTTTGATAAAATCATTAAGGTTTGAGTGACTAAGAACTTTATACTCTGTTAAATATGTTTTGATGAGTGCATCAATGTTTCCATCTGGAGGCTGATTTACAAACAGACTTGTTGGAAGCTGGGTGCAAATACATATCAAGAACTGCATAGTTTATACCTAGAAAGTAAACTCAAAACTTGGTGTATTTCAGGTCATGGTTCCTCTGTGTTAAACTGTCAATTGTTCAGCATTGGACTGAAAAAAGAAAAGGACTTTGTATTAGGGGGCAACTAAAATGGCATGTGAAATTCAGCGCTGATTAAATGCGGAGCAATTACTTGGAGAGGGAACGTTACTCATTTACGTTTTCAATGATGGGCTCCGTACTAGTTAATACTACCCAAAGGTGATCCTAAAGCAGTTATAATTCTGGGAAAATATCAGTGCTTAGTGGTGTTCAGTAGAACAGACCAAGTGTGAAGAATTAGAACAGAAATAGAGATGAAAACAGAAAACATGCCATTCTATAACTTCCTGCTCTTCTTAAATCTTAAATATTGTGTGATCATACTTGATATCCTTTTAAAATGAGGGGACCAGGACTTTAAAGTTCTTCTTTCCATAAAAGGAAGAGCTGTTTAGTCTAAGTCTTCTCAGCTGGAAAAAGATTGCTTGAGGGGAAAAAAAAGAATGTAATAGAAGATGATAAAATTGTTAGTAGCATAAGGAGGGTGCATAGAGAAAAATTGTTTACTGTCTATACCTGTAAAAGAAGTAAGAGCTGGCAAATGAAAGGAGCAGCTGGCATACTCAGCAAAAGGGTACAATATTTAACTTCCAGCATGGCTAAGCTGTGGAACTTGTAGAGTACTGCAGGTACTAAGACAATGTGACTTCACAAGAACACTGGGCAAGTTAATAGAACAAAAAGCTATTGAATACAAAGGTACTACCTCTGATTCAGAGTCTGGTAGTGGCAAATCCGTGGAAGATTGGAGAGAATACTAGAGAAGCATTGGAATATATTGCCTTTTACACTTTGTCTTAAGTATTTGCTGTTGACCAATGATGGAGAGAAATTAGTGAGCTTAGGTGAATGTGATCTGACATGGTACAGCTGTTTGATACATGCTCAGTTGCACCTAATTACACTTTGCTTTTGATAGTAGGTCTAGCATTAAAAAAAAAAAAAGTCTTCAAAATGTAAACCAGTTGCAAGTTTGTCGCAGTTCCATGAAAAATCCTTGCTGTCCATATACTTATCCTTCCTAAATACTGGCTACAGTTTGCTTTATGTGCCCACTTTATGGATCAGGTTCGCATAATGCTTAGTACTGCTGGACTAGTCACCTCTGACTCTTGCTATAGGATTTTAGCAGCTGATCTGCTGATACTGCAGATCCCCTCAGGACATTAACCCCTTCATGAAAAGAGATGGGGAAAAATCTACAACTTTGAGTGAAGGAAGCAGGAAAGAACAGTTTGAATGTAGCTCTCTATATATGTGCAATTGAAGAACAAAAGGTGTTTTTTTAACATTAGTTTGATAGTCACAAAAAGGAAGTTAAGCTCACTGGGTGGCAAAATGATGGAATGTGATCCTTGTGAGTACTATTCAGATTTCTAAGATTTTTAAAATAGCATGCTTTAGACCATGCCACTGCAATATATGCTTTCCTAGTGGAGAATATGATAGTTTGTATGCCAGTGCACATGCTTTTTCATAACCTAAAGGGAACTCTGGTATTATGCTGTAATACCACATCTAAAGTTTAAACAAAAGAATTGGAGAGAAAACTAGTGCATGTTAGGCCTTGTCTGATGAATGCTGTACTTGTACCAACTTGTTTCTTTTAGGGCAGTTCTGCCAATCTGTGGGACTGTTATGTACATGTGCATGCTTACATAATGATCATCGTACGTAAATTCAGAACATAACATACTGTGAAAATGAACAACTTCAAAAAAAAAAATCACACTTTCAGAGGAACAAAAATAGACAGTTTGTTCATCTTCAGTAGTAATGCTGTTAGCCTCTTTTTCATTAAAGGTGTTCTGAGAGAGATCTGTTGGTCTCTTCGGGAGCCCAGCATTCTACAAGTTGTAACAGGAGCTCCTTCTTTCCTCTCCCTTACATGTGCTCTTGACCTCTGGATTGTAGATTCAGTTTCCAGGAAAGGAATATATTTGTCTCTATTGACATAATTCGTCTATGAACCCTATAGATTGTTGTGGTCAGCTGAAAGCTAACGGCAGAAGTGCAGGGCCTAAAGGGCCTACCCTTTTCCTTAGGGTAAGCTACATACTCATTTAAATGAGGCCTAAAACTTTCACAAACTTTCTTCTACTATGTGATAAGCCCAGAATACATAATTTGACTTAACTACTGTTCCTGACTTAGCTACTATTCCTTTTATGTCTTCTTGGTCACAGATTAGGTTTAAGAGTTCGTGAAAACTTATCACCTTGGAAGCTCTCTCCAGTGAGAGTCCCAGGTAGTAAAGTTATTGGTTTGCTCTTTTACAGCCTGGCATCTTTCCCATAAATAATGGAGACGTATAGAGTCAGATGTGCTGTAGGCAGGAATATACTCTAAAATGTTGTCTAATGTTTTTTGGAAATATTTTCATGTGCTGTCATGATCATCTGTGCCCAAATATTTGACCTGTTTTGCAATCTCATAAATGAAATAAATTACATAAAAGTATGTGGTCACGACAGCTTTTCCTAGGCCAGTAGCATTAATACTTCAGAAAATCAGGTCAAAGTTATTTTAAACAGATTCTCAACTAGTATGCTGTAATGTGTCTTCAGTGCACCAGTTTACTCTAGCTGAGAATCCACTCTTTTAACTTGATTAAAACATCAATGCACTCTAGCAATATCATGAATAAGTTGTGCTTTTCTCTCTGTGTATTGAATACAAAGCAAAGCTAAACTAAGAAGCAACAGAATTCTGAGTACTAAACATCCACAAGATGCTAGATAGTTTAATGGACTTAAGTGGAAGGACAAGGAAGGTTTTTCCTGAGGGAAGACTGCAATTTATTGTTTGTTTCAGGATTTCACCAATTGCTCTAGAAGTTCTAAACTGTTTCAGCTACCCTCTCATTATTAACAACTAATTTTCATGAAAGCACCTCTTTTCCTTTTTTACAAAAAATATGTATATACACGCACATGCACAGAGTAGTTGATGATACGACTCTTCAGATATTTCAGTGTATTCATAGTACTGTCAGGTGTCATTTAACTTGCTTAGTAAATAGTTATAAGTGCATGTTCCTGATAAACTTTCCTATCTGCTTTGTAGCTTCATCTGATTTAAAAGACGTGGTAAGTGATTACAAGAAAATTGTTTTCAAGAATTGGAAGTTAAATATATACATAGGATACTATTTATTTTTTAAATTATTATTTAGGAAGAGAAACAAGGTATGGAGCATTGACTGACATCTGGGTCTTTCATTATGCAGTTTTTTTTTTCTTTCTGCTGTGACTTAGGCAAAATGTCAAGAATTCTTTTGCCTGTCATTATACCACTCCCACAGATTCTGTGTTCCTTCTTTTTGTTTTGTTTCTGGTTGAGAAGCCTATCTCCTTCTTGCGCTCTGACTTTTCCCAATTGACTTTAATATTTGAACAGGCATAGTGGACACACAACTTTTTTTTGTCCTATGTAGGGTCACTGCTCTGTTAAATGTGTTCTGTTGCCACAGGGCAAGAACTGTCCACCCCCACCAAGGTACAGTCCATCTCTGTTCTATTTCCCTTCTACCAGGGACTTCAGGCAGAATGCTGACCCTCCAGTTTCTCTTTTATTCTGCCCTGTTAATGCTTCTGATTAGCTCTGCAGCTGGCAAGGCCACAGCCAAAAGCTCCTCTTTCTTACAGCCTCAAACTTGGTGCCTTTCTCACTAACGGAGATTCTTCTTTTCTGCGTAACCTGTTTCTGCTCAAGTCAGCAGAGGCTTTGTCACTTTATTGAGCTCTCTTTGTTCAATAATATTCCTTTCTATCCCATGTTACACTTCTTTCTACCTGGGCTGAGACGTTCACAGACATCTTTAATTCGGTTCTTTCTCCTTACAATGGACTGGAGGAAGTTTTTCTTCTTTTGCCTTTGTTAGAACCAGTTATAGCACTTTGCTTATATGTAGTATCCTAATTCTGCAAAGGTCTCCTTGCTTTAGTCTCATCTTTTTTTTGGGGGGGGGGTAGGAGGAAGAGGTTGCAACAATTCTATCTATCTGCATAATTATTTTTTGAAGTCCATAATGCTATCCTCTACAGTTTCTTGGCCTGTCTTTACAGGAAACTCATCTGATTATTTGTACTGGTTCTCTTCATGTAAGCTGCTAATTGCAAACAAGGCAGCTGCCCTATCTCTGTAGCCTGCGAAAACCTTATTATTAGAAGGGTTATTAAAAGGGTTCATTTTGTTTATTTGTTTGTTAAGGATTTGGGGAGGGGAGAGGTATATGTAGCTAAAGTCAGAGAAGTCCTTCTATGCAGGCTGGTTTGAGTTTCATCATCGTCTTTTCTTCAGTCCCTCTGTTTAGCAATTGGTTGCTGAATCTTGACTTTCAGATGTAGCTTTTATTCGGCTGAATCACTTCTTCCTTAACTGGTCTCTTAACTGAACTAGGTTTCACTGGCTGTCCCTCCAGGAACATAAAAGGGTAGGTTGCTGGGGTACAATGATATTTCTGAATTTTTGGCGAGATGATGTGGTAAAATCTTTATTGACTACAACATATTACTATTTCCTATTTTTTAATATATGTAGTATGCACACTTAACTATCAGAGTGTCTATATTACAAAATATGTGTATAGGAGGAACCTGTTAACTGTTTGTTATGCAAACATTTGATGCTTTGTTTTTCTGAGAGGAAATTGTCATGCAAATACCCTTTTGTTAAAAATTTCATGTTGAAATTGATCATTATCATAGACTAGTGCTTGGTGGCATTGAAAGCATATGGATGTGGCTAATGTGTCACTCAACAAGCTTGCTGTTTATCAGTAGGATGACAGAAAGCAACAGCTGCTGTATTATAGAAAACTATTTTTCTTCACATTTTCAGTTTTCTTAATTCCTCTCTGGAGAGAGGACACCAGTCAAATCTTAAGAGCTGCTTCTCCTATTAAATAGCTCTGCCTCCTTACCAGAGGGCAATCAAAAACAGTTTCGCCTTTTTGCTGGACTTGCTAGTCTAGATCAGAGCTGTGCTTTTCCCCCCCCCCCCCCCCCTCTTTTTTTTCCCCATGGTTAGATAAAATTGCCTTCCTGTTATAGGGTTGAGGTATGTTGGGGGGATAATTAAAAAGTAAAAACTGGAAAAAAAAATGGTAGACTGGAGAGATTATGATCATGAGCCTCTTATCTCATGTTTGGGCAGGATGTTTCTTTTGCAAAGATGCACAGTTGTGACAGTAGCTTTTGTAAAAAGGGATATTGAACTATGCTAGGAATGTGTTGGTCAGTAATTTTGGTTTTCTGGGAATCCTAATCCCTTTCTCTTTTCTCTATGCTTGTTCTGATAAGTTTCTAATAACAAGCTGGAGAAGTATATCTTGCCACCTACCTAGCAGAGAAGGTGTTAAGTAAGCTGGTAGCAGAAAATAAACTGTTCATCAGGAACATTTTTCTTTCCCATATCATTTATTCTTCTGAGCCTAACCAAATATTTTTTGTACTTACATCCAAAACATTTTTCATAACCTTTGTGCGATAATTTGTTTCTACAAATGCAGGTTAACCGTGTTTGTAGGTGTTGCATCATGCATTGGGGAAAGGTGACTTGGTCAGTTAATGTTTATTGAAGCATTGGAAGCTGTATTTCTAAATTTTTTATTTTTTTATTTTTTTAATTTAAAACCAGATTTGTGACTTTGGACTGGCTCGTGTTGCAGATCCAGATCACGATCACACAGGATTCTTAACAGAATATGTAGCCACACGTTGGTACAGGGCTCCTGAAATCATGCTAAATTCTAAGGTAAGAACCATAGTGCACTGTTACAGTGTTCCTGTTCACCTGTGAGTACCAAAGTTTGCTTTTTTTCCTCCTGTGTTTTTAGGATCAGAACGCATGCATAGTCATAAGGAAACATGTTAATGGTTTTGCTATCTACGTACTGGCTTCCAATAAATGTGTGGTTCTAGATATAATTACTGGATAGTATAACTGAGTATACATATACGTGAGTTCCAGTGTGCCCAGTCCTTGTCATTCATGAGACTTCTTTCCATCAAATGCCCTTGCATAGAGCAGGACAGAAGTACTAGTAACGAGAGCATTTTACTACTGTCTTCATTATGACTTGCAAATGCTGTCTTAGTGTCATCTTGACATCTTAATTTAGATGTAGAATGTATAATGAGAGTAAATCTGATTCTAAAGGCTTGTGATTTTTCCTTTATGTCAATCTTGATTGCTTTCCCATAATCTTAATCAAATCATCCCTTTCTATTTTATACTTGAAGTTATTCACATTTTCTTCTCTGGCTGTGTTAAGGTGTATCTGATATCCTATATGATATAAGATCTTCATAACCTTTTGTCAAAGTTCAGTACTCTGACCAGGTTCTTTCAGATATTCCACACGTTGAGTTGGATTTATTGTGGCAATACCGTGTTTAATGTACTTTAGAAAATAGTCATCTGATGAACTGGATTTTTTTTTTTTTTTTAAAGCTTCTTGTGTTTTAAACTCGCCTTGAAGCCATAAACATACGACAACCTAATTCATTTTTATTTCTGGATATCAACATACGTTTGTCAGCTTTTACAAGAAAATATTTTGTGTGCTTCTTAAGAAATGGTGAAATTACTATGTTCCAGGCCTATAACTTGATTCCTTTTAGAATTACAGTGCTTTGAAAACAGTCAAGTAATCACATCCTGAGAAGCTGGTGCTGAGGTGGCTGTGGGTTCAGCAAAGTCACTAGCTTTTTCTGGAAGCTCCCTGCATTATAATAGGAGGGGAGTAGTGGACAGCAGGCTATGGGAGAATGAGGCAAGGGAGCTCGTGGGGCGAGGACTCTTGAAGTAAACTTGCCCTTGTATTACCCAGGCATCAGGGTAACTGCTGAATCCAAGCTGCTGCTTACAGACAACAGAGGTTGTATGCATGAAAATAACATAATTTGTTCCATTCTTGTTATATCATATAGACCTTGTTTCCTACTGTTAGCCTTTTCATATCATCTTGACTACTTACCTGTTGTGTTTTACAAACTAACGCACCAACAATCTGTTTTGTCCTTCCATCCTTCTGATGCTGAAGGCTTCTTACTGTCTTGTGTTGTATTTAGATCGTATGCTTTTAGGAAGAAGGATTGCATCTTTTCATGGCATGCACGTGTGTATTTAACATACTGTTAGGAATTGTAGAATTAATAAGAATATAAGGGATTAGCTTGTTACCAAAATTTGTTAGTGTAAATTGGCTAGAAAATTAGGGAGCCTTGCAAAAATTGCAGTTGGTAATACTAAGCTGGTGTAGCTAAACTTAAGAGAATCCTTTTGGAACAGCACATATTGCATATTTCATTTCTTGTTAACGCTTGCAAGTAGTGTTTTTGATATACAATGCTTAATTATTCCTTACTGTACCAGAAAAGTTAAACAGCATGAGTAAGCATGACTCATCTAATCTTGAAAAAAGAATTAACATGAGTGCACTTTCACAATTTAGTAAAGTAACATATTACTGCAATTATGCAAAAATACCTTTGAACGAAACAATTTTTTCCCTTTACTTGCAGGGTTATACGAAGTCTATTGACATCTGGTCAGTAGGCTGCATTCTGGCAGAGATGCTCTCCAACAGACCTATCTTTCCAGGAAAACACTACCTTGACCAACTTAACCATATCCTTGGTAAGCTTAATATAAACATCGCATTTCCACGTCCATCTGTGTCTCTCCACCTCTACCAGCTAGGCTAGTCTTGGTCACCCATTTCTTTCTCTTGTTTGGTCTTGTATCTCCTTTCTTCTATGCTACTTATGTGTATATTAAATGTCTTTAAGAATATGTAACGTCTGGATCTGTAGGTGCATTATCTGTTCCATGTAGTTATTTCTACAGCGATCTCTGTGATAAATCATTGATTTGAAGGGAAGCTCGAAGATACTTACTAGTTTATTTACTATATTAAAGAGATGTAAAAAAGCTCAAATATACAAATCAAAAAATCCAAGTTAATTTATTTACTTATATATTTCTACAGGTAAGCAACTTATAGTCTTGAGATCTTTTAAATGGAGTACTGATAACTAGGAAAACCTAAATGCATTTGTCTGCTTACCAGAAAAATTAACTTAACTATTTTTAGGAAATGTTTCTAAAAATTCCTAAGATATTCTGTACTCCTAAAACATTTAGGATGAAATCTTCTTTCTGGTAATTTTATTATTGATGATTAAATGTGATGTGACTATTTTCATGTACTTTTCATAGGAATGCAGCACCTTATTTATTTATTTATTTATTTTTAAGGTATACTTGGATCCCCTTCGCTGTTTCCGAATGCTGACCCTAAAGGTATTTCATGTTCTATTACTTTTAGTGCTCACTTCCATTTTTAAAGATCTGATACAATGTAATAGCAGGATGGGATTTTTAAAACTACCTTAAACATTTACCATTATCTATGGTGGAAATAAAACATCCAGGTCCTCTAAAACATTTATATAAATCAATATGAAAACAAATCACCTGATAAGCTGTTTTACCAGCTTATCTCTTTGTTATTAAAATAAATTTTAATAACAATATAGAATTTCATGTTGTGGTGTTTTGAGCTTTAACTTCCATGTAACACATGGAAATCCTAACTTTTGCTATTGTCGTTGAAAGAATGATATATTACCCAAGTGCTGAATGTTGGGACTGGATTTTGACCCAGACATCAAACAAATTCTGAACCTAATTTCTGAAATATGAAGTAAGATAGCTTCTTAATTCCAAACTCACTTTGTATAGTTTGTGCAATCTTTGTGTCAGCTCTCTACCAGCCATGATAATGTCCTTCAAAAGTTGAAAATGCTAAACTGTAATGTCTTTTAAAGAGTCCAGTGATAATATTTGTAACTAAAGTTGTAAAAGCAAGGAGTGTAAGAATTATTGTCTGTCTTTTCAATGCCTTGGTAAAGATTTAGATGTATTTTGTTTTGCTATGTAACCATTAACTTGCCTTTTAAATTCTACTTAATACAGTTTGAGTTGCTATATTCACAGTACAGTGCTCTTTTACCTGCTTTGACACAATTCATAAGTCAGATTAAAAAGTTTTTGAACTAATAGGATAATTTACTCTCAGTGAATATGATCACATACTGAACTACCACACAAAAGCTGATTTCTGCACAAGGAATTATGTAGAGCTGATTATTCCTATCATTGAGAGATCTTAACTTCTTCAAACAGCAGTGATTTGTTCAGCTTTTATAACGGTGCTCATCACTGTGAGAATTTTCTACTGTAGGCTTTTGACAGCTCAAATTATAGCAATGGTGATGTGCTTAGCTGCTAAGGGAACATACAGTTTGCATGACTTCTGTAACACCTTTTCATCTAAGTCTTCAGAGTAGCTTTGACGGAGCAGTGTTTCAAGAAACTATTTGCCAACATTTCAATAAAAAGCACTGTGCCTGACGTGCTTTAGCATGATGTCACCCTGCAAGTTTTCAGTGTTGAGAAAACTGTATAAAGATAGTTAATGTTAATTGTTGTTTGGGTAAGTTTGAGGCTTTTAAAAACTGCCTTTAAATGCAATGGTAAATTTTTGTCTTTTAACTTCTGAAATGCTTTGTATTCATCCAGGCATCTTATCCTGATGCAAAACTACAACTACTTTGGTGCAAAGAGAAGCCTGTATTTTAAGTTCTGTATTGTAAATCATGTGGTGAGGAGAAGAAATGGAGTAGAACTCAAGATACTGCGAATATATTTGGGCTTCTTACTGCTAAAATCTGCATTCCTCCCCCACCCCCCACCTTTTCCTGGAAATGAAAACCTGTCACAATCAGAGCAGCTGAAGAGTTGCAGTAACTTTAACTTGTAACATTTGTCCAGAATTTGATCAAACCTCACTCTGTCATACCAGATCTTAAAGTTCTCTGTGGAGTCTTTATTGGTTGTGTTTAACAGATTTTGCCTAAATCTTTTTAATACGAACATGATTGCATCTTAGGTGGAGAGTATCTTCTGGGATGCTACTTGTGCTATGGTAGTTCACTGTGAGGATCTAGAACTGTAACGAGTTCTAGATGAGGTTTTCATCATTAAACATTGAAGCAGGTAGTTGGAGCTGCCATCAGCTTTATTAATCCTCCTTCTTGTACTTCCAGAAGAGGAGTATATTCTTGATAACTTTTTCACTTTAGAAAAGATCTGTCTTGTTTTGGATTTTTTTTGCCAAAAATCCAGAGCACCTATTTGAGTGAAGAAACCCAGTCTATCCAGTTTCTGCTGTAACTAAATCAGATTGTACCAAAGATAAGGTTCTATGCATCTTTTCCCCTAATGTTCATTCTGACACTGAAGATCCTTTGAAAGGGTATACTTTTTTTTTTTCAGGCGTTCTTAAAACATACTAGATCTTGCTAAAGGAAACTAACCAAGGAATGCTGATATGCTGGGCAGAGGAAGAGACTCTGTCCAAGTTACAGGAAGCATTCTGCTGCTTCTATTACTGCTACTCCAGCTGAGGAACTGCAAAGACTTAAGGAAATCTTAAATTGAAATTAGCACAAAATTAGGGTAGTGTGTCTTTCCTATGTAATATCAGTGATTACAACTTTTTTTGCACATTGCAATTTGGAGCATATATTGAACTCTTGTTTACTTTTTTTCCCTCTTAGCACTTGATTTGTTGGATAAAATGTTGACCTTTAATCCTCATAAGCGAATTGAAGTGGAGCAAGCTTTAGCCCATCCATATCTGGAGCAGTATTATGATCCAAGTGATGAGGTAAAGACGTCATTAGAATGTATATATTATAGATTAAAGGATACAACAGAAAGGTTATTTTTCTCATTAGCTTAAGGGTAATATTTTTAATGTTGTAATGGAGGAAAAAAATGTATTAAAAATGAAGTATAAAAACCAATTTACCAAAATCGTTAGAAATGTGTTCATAAAGCAAGTGTTTGTGTGTAATCACCATAACTACATGAGACAGTATTTGTGTTCTGGTTCCCCATGGAAATTCAGAACACTAATTTAGTTGTTGATAAATTTCAAAATAATATGTTGTTATGTGTAAAAAATTATGTGTAATAAAGTGTTCCAACTTGAGAGTAAGAAGTTAAAGAAGAACTGCAGGTGCTCTATATGTTTGAAAATTGTGCTGTTTCTTTTTAGGTATCTTTCAAGAAATTTTATAGTGTTAATTTTTCATGGGAAACTTGAAACTTGGCTACTTATCTTTTAAATAGATTTATGCAAATGCGTACACAGATTAATACACTACCAAGAAGGTAGCCACAGATTTGTTACAAAGTTCTTTCTAAACTGTAATTTATATTGAGCAGGTTTTATAGTATAGATTTAGGAAAAACAGACTTTAAGGTGTTATCATTTATTCAAGTGCTTATGAGTTAACTGTATTACTACCCTTTTTAGGGAGTATCTGTACCTGTTCCCTTTTAAGCCTACAAAATTATAAAAGCAATGAGATTCTGAACATGTAGGTTTTTTTGTTTTGTTCTTCAACAATGAACAAGTTAATTACTAGATTTTACTTGAGAATGTCTGTTTTTGCATTCTTAATTTTCTTCCAGATTAGAAAGGCTTGCTTGTATGTAGAGATATCTAATTGTACTTTAAATGTGCATTTCTTTAAAATAATCAAACCACAAAATCTGTTTGACTTAACGCCAATTTCAAGTTGGAAGTACTGTTTTTATTCTGTATTTCTTGTTATAGTACTACATTTCGGAGCATAATACAAAATGAGTAGATGCTAAGGAATACTCTCCTGAAAATCAGATTTCTTAATGCACTATGGTTTTGTTTTATAATGACTAAGATAAGGGAGGAAAATAACTGAGCTTGCCATCAGATTATCCATTAAAAAAGAAAACTAAAAAAGCTGAACTTGCTGTGGTTTATTATAATGCTGATGAGATTTCAGATTAGTTTAGTGCAGAAGTAGAGGAGGAGGCAGTAAGTTAGTTTGACTTCTGGGACAAAAAATTATGAGAAATAAAAATATTCCACATTATTTTTCTTCAAATAGTTACTAAGTTACGAGCCTCTGCTTAAGCAAATATTTTAACCTTTTTTTTTTTTTTTTAGGTTTGAGTAGCTATTTACTATGGATTGACTTAAAATTTGGTAATCTAACATACAAAGCTCAAAAGGGATTAACAGAATGGGCTGCTTCTTGAAGACTGTACAGTAATAGATTATTTGTGGCATACATTATTTTTCAGATTTTTCTTTCTTACAGTAACTACATGAAATTCAAGAGTACAGTAATATTAGGAAAAGTACTAATGTGTCTTTATATTATTAAGCCTGTAGCTGAAGCACCCTTCAAGTTTGACATGGAGTTGGATGACTTGCCGAAGGAAAAGCTGAAAGAACTGATTTTTGAGGAAACTGCTAGATTCCAGCCAGGATATCGATCTTAAATTGTGCATAGGTAAAGTCACAAGAATAAGAAACCATTTAGTTGGGGGAAAGAATTTTGCAATTTTGTGATTGCTGCTAGTGAAACATATAATTTGCCATTTTTCTTAATATGGTAAAGCAGTCCTTTTGTAGCTAGTTATGCTTATGCATTTGACCTCAGTCCTATTCTGTTATTGAAGAAGTTAGTTTAATTTTCTCTGCAATATTAAAGTGTCTATAGGGAATCCAGGCAATTCTCTGAGATGTTTACTTAGATTTTAGATTACATTTAAGGAATAACAGCTACATTTAAATAGTATATCTCAGAACAAAAGCTATGAAACACTTTGAAATTCAGATATTATTCAAAAGGGGACAGTTTTTACTTATTTTTAAGGGGACGAAGATATTCATAAAAAATACTACAGAATCTTTTGTTGTATGGCTTCAAATGCTTATTTTAAAAATAATTCCTTAAATGTAATGTGCAGAGGGAAAATCTCTTAAGAATTTATTTAAATGGGGGGGGGAAACACAGTATGATGTAAAACTTCAGTTTTAAGTACTTCTGAAATAGTTGTGTAAGTATATAATGATTGTTATCTAAGTATTCATAAATTTTGATTGAGCTTGCTACACTTCTGAAGATTTAAACTCCCTTAATTTAAAACATACTGACTAATTTTCAGTGTTTCTGGCAATTCTTTTTTAAAATCAATTAAATAGCTATACTCAAAGAATAAGGAAGGAATATTTAAGTACATCTTTATAACTTACATTAATCAATAGTATATATACAACAGAAAAACTTAACTGGTCTTCATATATTGCAAGACTTGCAAGTCTCCATAGTTTTGTACAAAGCTAGTCAATATTGATGTGAATAATTTTTGTGATACTTGTGAAACTTCTGTGATACCAATATTTTAAGTTATCTTTAAGTTTTGTGACTGGAAAAGAACTACTAACTAAAGAAGACAGCCTAATCTAGGTTGTCTACATTATGGTCTTAAAAATAGTTTCTGTGCTATTCTCAGTCAACAGCAGCGTTCTACAAGTACCATCTTTCATTGGCAGTTTGAGCAAAAAGGATGTTTTGAGCCTGTGAACTTCCTTACTGCAGGAGATCCGTGGCTCAGACAGCAGCTATGGAAGCTTTGTTGCTTTGCTACAGCCAATAATTTTCCTGCACTAAAAATGGGATTTGAGTTTCTAGATTGCTTTTACTCCCAGTTCCTTTTATTTAATGTTGGGGAGAAGAAAAAAAAAGTTGAGGAAATACTGTATTTTGTTTATTAAACTTGCAAGCTAACACTTTAAATTATTTAATTATTAAACTTCAGGTAAATTTGAGGTTAACACATCTGGCTGTTCTTATTAGCTGGGCTTTGCCAACAGAATTAAACCTGGGACATAGTAACATGGATGGTGCTTACTTCCCTTCCATGTTTTCTAATGTTAATTCTGCTTGAGAGGCAGTGGCAGTTAACTGTACTCTGCTGGAAGAAAATGATATAACTTTAAGAAGGAAGATGAGGCCTGTTGTCAATAGGCCATAACATTCAGGAAAGAGAGCGAGCAGCTAATGTTGTGGTAAATCCCAGGTTATGATCTCTCCTGCTTCTTTGCTCAGTCCATACTTATTAGGTTGTATTAGGGATTAAGGGATAAAGGCATTAGAGATAAAGATATCAATGACCCAGTGCTAAGGGAAGTTTTTGATCTGCTAAAAATGTTACCTTTAAATACCACTCTGAAGAGTTCATTTGGCTGACATGATTCTGAAATTTAGCAATTTTTACTTAGCTTAATAATGATAGGCTAATGATAGGCTAGTGATTTGTACAAGCCATTTTTGGTTAGAATTATTAGTTGTTCCACTTCACAACACTTTAAACATAAGCAGTTAACGTTACAGTGAAGGCCAGTTGCCAGCAGTTGACTTAAAATGCACAATAACATACTCTTCCTGTGGGTTTCCATTTTCACCCCTTCCCCCATACTTGATCAGCTAGTTCTTCTGGTTTGTTATTTCTTGAGATTCAGAATTTCTGACATCTGACTATACTTTTTAGAAATGAAAATTTGTGTGAAAATAACTGATTCTTCAGACTACCAAATAATGTACTTTATTTATTTAGAGGAAGGTAGAGACTTCTTCCTGTTTAGTAGTCATGTTTATAACTATTTTTGGTTTTTGTCCTTTAAGACTTTAAGAGGATTTATACAAGGAATGGCCTGTGTCCTATAGTGTATATCCTATGTAGATAAAGTTGACGTTTCTGAAGATTTGGTGCACCTCCTAGGCTAAGGAGCTTCTCAGTGGTTGTTTGTTGTTGTGTTTTTTGTTTGGGTTTTTTCTTTTTCTTTTTTTGCTAACAAATGTATTAGTAGTGCTCTCTGTGACTTATGATAAACACAGTGTATAGTGTTTGTTTTCAAAAGCAGCATTAATTTCCTTTGCTGAAACATGTCTCTGCTCTTTTTTGTAGGACAAGGACTTAAAGGACTGGGCATGCTCAAATGTTGCTGTTCCTCTTCCCAGTTCTTTATTGTTGGTCATGTCTTGTGGCCTCTCTCAGCTTATCCACTAACTTCTTTGAGCCATTCAGAAGGGCAGTTTCTGGTAGTTTTGGCTTTTCATGCTTTCAATGAATCTTTTAAGCCTGAAGAATTGTAATTGACACTCCTATGCGTAAATGCCCATTGTTGACCTGTTGCAGTACTGTACTGTAAGTGCATCTACTGCTGGCCGTATTTTAACTGCTTGCTTTCTGGTTTGAAAGATGCAGTGGTTCCTTTCACTCCTGGATCAATAACCAAGAAGAAAATTCATTAACCTATAAGAACTATGAACTATGTTTTTTCTGACTTTACTGAAGTCGCTGGCATTTTTTTATTTTTTTATTTTTTATTTTTTAGAAAAGCTACTATTCAGGGCACTTTAAGTCAGTGACATCCCAGATTTTTTTGCACTTCCTTTCTAGATAGAAATGGTTAGCATCCAATGGAATTTATACCATTATGCTATGGATTACAGCATAAGTTGTGTTCATGTTAATCTTGCTTATGCACTTGTTTGGGTGTCCTGTGCTGTATAAACAGGTATTCTATACAGTGAAATAGCCACATAGGAACCCAACTTAATTGAATTCATCTGAGAAACATTATTCCGTGTATACACACAATTTGTACCTTTTCTCCCTGCCTTTTCTAAAAGAGATCATTTAAAGTTTAACCATGTTGGAGGTGTAGTACTTCCAAAGTTCATACCATGTAGTAGTGTTTATAAGACTTGTGCAAAGAGAATGAGTGGCAGCTTGCCAGCTTATATTTATTCACTGTGTGGTGGAAGATTAACAAAGACATAATGGCATGATGACCTAATGGCAAATGCTTTTCTCTGTGGAAGGCATCCATATGTGGTGGTAAGTGAGAAACCAAAACATGATGTTAGTAAACTCAGTCTACATACTGCATACCAATGAAATGCTTCAAAGAGGATGATAGTTTTTATATTTGAATCTAATCACTGACGTTCAGAGTTCTTGCAGGGAGGAACACTGCATCTTTAAATGAGAAAGTTTGAATTTACTTTTGCTCCTACAGCATGTCAGCATCTCAAGTTCATTTCTTGCAACCTACACTATGGTGATTTGTAATCCAGCCTCCATGAGCTCGTGACATGAAGTACTGTTCTGTTGTCAAGTACTATCAAACTTTTCTGATAATGCTGAGTTAGGACAACCAAACAAAGCTAGCACTAAATAATGTTTAAAATTGTATACCTTTTAATGATCTTTTCAAGTATTTGTTACTGAAATTGTATAATGTGGAGTTTACTAGGTGTTATGTTCCAGTGCAGTGCCTCCTTTTCTTTCCCCACTGCTCTCTGTGGTGAAAAATTTGCCTTGTTTAAAATAATTACTGTGCCCTCGCATGACTGTTAAAGCTTTCTGTGCAAAGATGATTGTCTAAGTGCCACATGCCTATGATTGAGAAAAAAAAAATCTATTGTTACCTCTGAGTTGTGTTCAACTGAAATGCTATTCAACAAATAACTTAGGAAAATAGTTCTATTTTTAGCTTTTCATATCTCTGCTGTCTTCTTCTCATTTTATTTTGGCAGCAGTGAAGAATGGATTGTATAAAGACTGCTTGCTAATATGAACAAAATGCACTTGTAATTCCTGGAAATAAATTTAAACCTTATATCGTCACATTAACATTAAGAATTAGTTTTTGGTTTCCTCTTGGGTAATGTGTTTGAATGGAAATCAGGTTTAATTGCTACTGTAGTATACAAGGATGCTTGCTGGTTAATAACTCCAGGCTTCCTCATACCACTTAGTCTGCTTTTCAAAGAAATCTAGAAAGCCATTAACTTAGACTTCAATAGATAAGGGTGCTTACAAGATTCCATTTCAAAACTTTCCTTTTCCTATAGTTTAAGTGTTAGTCTGCCAAAACTAATTTTTAATAAGCAAGGGTTCATCTTTAAAGGGCATTTTCTATTAGGAAGTTCCTGTGGTACATAAATCTCTGTCATGTAGAGCATATTAGGAGCATTGTCAGAACACTGCACAATGATCATTGAATTGTGATGTGGAACCTATGCTAAAAACATTTCTATAGAAATATGCACTTGACTGTTGATACTAGTGTAGAAGTTCTCTTGACATTTCTACACATCTTTACCAAAATGCTTTTCTCACTCAGTTTTGAAAAGTTGAACTATTTCTAGAATCTCTGCTACTTGTACGATCGTTGTGACTACAGGAATAAATTTGGCATGGTTGAAAAGATGACTGTTACTGAAAAATTAGTTTGTGACACCTCAATTTTAATTTATTAAGGAAGAACTTTGGCAGCTTAATTCCTCTTTCACTTTCCCCATTCATTTTTAATAGTTTCTTTAATTGCGGATTTTTGGGGAGGTATAGACTTACCCTTAAATTCTGACCCTTGGAATGAGGAGCCAAGGGTTTGCTTTACTTAACATCTGGTGCTTTGGGGCTTTCTTCCTTAGCAATTATTGCTGAATCAAATTGGCATCCATCAGTATCAGTAATTGCTTTCATCAGTGTTTTACTGAAGTCAATAAACATTGTTGAGTTGAATTTGTTGATGTGTTAAATGCAGAAGCATGATTTTTTTTTTTGTCAGATTTGGAAAATAATTTTAAAGACGGTGCCTATAATAACACTGTGTTATGTCAATTATTTCATAATTTCACATTTTTTTTCTTTATCTAGTCTGTATTTGTAGAGCAGAGAACTGAAACACAAATGAAGTGACATGCATATTTCATGGTAAAGATGTTTTGGGAATAAGGAATGTAAACAGTTGACTGTCAAAAACATTCCAACCTTATAGCTGAAGAAAAATATGCAAATATATAAAATTCTCATGGATGCTTTGGCAAATTATCTTATTCTGCTATCCTGACTGTCACCAGAATCTTCCTCGTCAATATTACACGTTATATAAAATTTTAAGTGTACAACACGCTGCATGGGTTGCGTGGTGTGGTACACTATGAGCTTTCAGGAGTAGCAGGTGATTATAAAACTGAGCAGTGGCCAAATGAAACCCAAGGAGCTTAGCATGGTTTTCCTTGCAGAATGGGAAAAAGAAAAACCTGTTGTTGCTGCCCACTGTTATATGCTATGATATATTTATACCATGTCGAAGTTGTTTGCTGAGCAACTGTACTATAGATTTAAACTTTATTAATATATATTTGCTTATGTTAGCATAGTTTATATAGTCCTTGGTTATTGATAAATTTATTGTGTTGTTACAGCGCAGTGATATGGTATAAATATAGGTCTATACATACACACAGTATACACATGAATTTGGTCCCTTGCATAGTACTTTTATATTTGTACAGCAATGTCTTCAAGCAATCCCAGATTTTAGGGGAAATATTTTTGTAAATGCAGTGGTTTAAACAAAAAAAAAAAAGTCCAATCAATCCTTTTACTAAGTTTTAAATACATTTGTGCTTTAAAATGGTTTAGTTGACAATTGAAATCAAGACACTAAATTAGTGAAAAGTGCACATTAGTAAAGTGAAGCTTGCAATGATTTTTGTAGCATGTGCTGTGATCAAACTAAGTGAAGCATTGGAGGAAAAGTAAAAGTTGGAATACCTTTGTAAATCTAGAACAAATTTCTAACGGTTGCAGCTGGTTTACTTACTATTGTTGCCTTTTCTTGTGTTGTATCAGTGTAGAGCACTCTTAAAATACTCAGACTGCTTTGTCTTTGCTTTGTACTGTTGGTGCCTTCTTAGTCATGTACCCCAGAAGTCTTGCATAGCTACTTTAGTTAATGGTAAGTTTAAAATAAGAAAGCAAAGGAAGATTTTATTAAAAAAAAAAAGACAAAAACAAAACAAAAACATTTTCTGTATGTTCTTATTCATTGTAACAATTAAACGTTTATATCGTGACAGATTTGTGATTTGGTTAATCTGTATAGAACAACTGTAAGTAGCAAAGGTTTATATTTCGTCTTATTCTTTTGATGTTGTAAACGTATGTGATTTTCTTTTTTTAAATCAGATAACTTAATGTTCTGTTTTGTTTTTGGCATCTGAATCTTGTAAAAACAAACGCAAAGAAAATCATTAAATTGTGTCCCTGTATTACCAAATCAGCATAGTACTGTGCATATATAGAATGACTGGAATTTTGCTTTAAAATGAACTGCTGTTCCAAAAACTATAAATATGCTGTGTATTACTTTAACTTATCTAAAATATTAATATCACTTGAACCCTGCAGTAGTGAGTAGCCTACATTAATATTGTTAAATACACAAGTATGTTTATTCCAGTGTATGATGCCAGCTGGAAATTACAATGGAGGAAGCCATCTGAAAAAATTATAGGTAAAGCTTCTCTATAGACAAGCAAAAGTATTACATCTTCATGGCAAGGAAATTAAGAAGTCATCAGTATTTTGAACTACTGAGCACACAAAGTAATGCAAATGGTTTTCAGTGTACCTGATGATTCAGAGACTCTCTTGACATTCTTTATATTGCTGTTCATTTAGGTGTAGCCCTGTTCCCAGAAAGTCTTAAAAAGAATTACTTGAGCAGTCCTTAAAGACCAAATGTTTTGATTTTCCACAAAAAATTCATCTTGGGCCAAGGTTTGAAGTATTTCTGGGAGCAATGCAAGTAAGCTTACCTTGCTGGGTTTTTTTGTTTGCTTGTTTGTTTTTTATGATTTGTTAGCCTAAAGTCAGACTGTGCCGAAGAACTGAGCTCTAAAAAGTTTACTTGGATAATAGCCACTAGAAACTTCTCTAATTAATGTGAAAACATAGAAAATGTGACCTGAAACTAAGGAGAGTTTAGCAGTAACTGACAGATATGTAACAACTCTCTGAAAAGTGGCTTGTTAAAATTCTTCACTCCATATTTTCTCTGGCTTTCACACCAGAGTATGTTCCCCCTCCCCCTCCCCGAATATTATAGAATTTCACTTTGCCCTAGATAGGTTTATGCATGCTCTTTCTTTGTTACTGACGGTAGCTGCCTCTCATTTTCTTTGTTCCATCTAGCAGAACTCTGTGTATGCAGTAATTTGCACTTCGGTGATTTACTTTTAGATATAATTAAACTGCAACTTGTCTCCACTGAGGTTTTGACAAGCTGATGATTGACTTGACACTCTTGTAATACTCAAGTACTTAAGTAGATTTAGTTGAGATATTATGCATCTTTCCTGCATTCTGCCAGAATTGGACACTGATCCTTTCTATCTCTAAGCTTGAAGTGTAATGGGCAGTCTTAAACTCCTGGAGTCAAAGACTCTGGAGATGAGCACTTTGGTCTGGGCACAGGCTTATGGCTTGTCTGGGCTGTGCTGTTTCAGTTAGAGCCCCCTGGACACTGCAGGTTGAACCCCAGAGCTGGGGCAAGGGTTGCACTCAGATGTACACTCCCACTTACGAAGGCTTATGAGGAACTGTTTTTGAATATAAGACATTTATTTGAGTAGATATTAGCGTAGATTTGATGGAATCAAGCTTTGTAGAGCTCTGATCGCAGTACTCTCTGCAGACCACAGATTTACACTTCACTTTCAGTTATTCTTTTTACTAAATTGTGTATATATAACACTTGAGAGTTATAAGAAAAACATTTGAAGAGAAGACTTACACACTTGACCACGTTGATACATGCCAGGTCTGTGGATAGTTATCTTGCTCTGATGTGCCTTTTGTCCACAGGCAAAATTCTTCAGTCAGCTTAAGAGGAGTTCTAGAGCAGGAACTCTGGCCTGTAGGAAGGTTTTGGTTAGTCTTCAGAACAAGGTCCCAGCACTGTGCAAGGTACAAGAGGTAACCAGTGTTAAATCCCTATCCAAAATATGGTCCCACTCATGCTGTGTTCATGTAAAGGCTAATCGTGGAAGTTATATATAAGGATTGTCCTGTAAATGCTATATCCTCCCTCTTTCCCCTTTATAAATGACCCACACTTAAGACTTTCCTTCCAGGTGTTTTCCAGAACTCTGCCAGTTCTTTCAGTATATCTTGCCATTGACAAATTGTCTTCCTCTTTGTCTTCCTATTCAAAGTGAGGCTAAAGTTCCAGTGGTTCCAAAAATCGTTCTTCTGTGGAATTCATGAAACTTCTGACAATAAACAACAGCTTACTGATCTCATTAGTTAAACTGATGTAAATCCACTGAAGAGGTAAGCAGGAAAACTGGGAGCTGTGCTCAAACTTATCAGAAGCATGCTGCTTGATAACTGTATCTTGATTTCTGGGAAGGCAATATAAAAACAGATACAAGGAACAGAAAGGAATGATGAATTTAGTTAAAATGTACCATGAAACGAAAAAGTTTTTTGAATTGCTTGAGAAAGCAAGATAGAACATAACCATGAAAACTAGGGGATTTTTTTCACTGCTTTGCTGTGGTGATGGTACAGTTTCTCAAACCTTTAGATAGAGCATGTCACCTGAGTATACAACTGCAGTTGAAACCAGAAAACAGCTTGTCTGGTTCCACCACGTACTCTTCTGCTCCTGTAGTTCTCAACAGCCTTTTGGATTAATTAGATCTGATATATCCATCAGTTCCACTGAGTTTCTTTGTTGCTGTTGGAAGCTTCATCCTGCAGTCTGATAGTCCCTGGTTCAAATGTTTCTCTTTCTGACTCTAAATTTTTCAATACCTTGTGAATAAGAGAAATTTCCTGCTAGCTACTTCTCTAGATTGCCCTTCATCTTCCTCTCACTATGTTTAAAAAAAAAATTGACCAAACAAAAAAAATTTATCCTTAAGTTCCTTCCCTTTCCATTGAATTCATTGGTATGGCAGACAAATATGTGTGATCCTTCTAGCTCCTCATTTCACTCAGTACAGAAGTAGCTTATGTGTGTGCGTGAAGACTTAAAAAAAAAAAAAAAAAAAAAACCCAACTCTGAAAATATTTTCAATTTCTGATTTCCTGGAAAAGACCAAGCAAAACTGCCTTGGTAGTGTGTTGAATTTCCAGCATTTTTTCATCTAAAGATATAGAGTTTTAAAAAAACTGATTTTGAGTGTCTTCCTGAGCTGAAGATGAGTTTGTGTGTCTCTTTCAACTGTATCAGTTTGCCTGCTAAAATACTACATCGCCATGTCTCCAGCATCCCTAATGCAGACACCTGATGAGTCTGTACTGGCAATGTGGTCATCTGTCAGGTGAGGAAATGCTTTCTGTTGCTGCTCCTAGTGGGCTCACTGATCTTGCTGAGTTGCCATCTTCCAGCAATGCTTCTCTTCCTCAGGGTTTTGTACTTTTTCATGTTGGTGTTTTTCTCCAGAGTCCTTTGACTACTGTGACTGACTCAACGACTTCTTTATCTTGCATGGCTATAGCTTACCTACATGCTCACAGCTCAACTTGGTTGGTTGGTTGGTTCTTTCTTTTTTTTTTTTTCCTTCTGTAAAGCTGAGCCAAGGACACTGCTGTGCTTCACAGAGCTGGGCCCTGAGTTTAAGACAGCTGAATCCTGGGCTGCTGGTTGTGCTACAGCTGCTGGCTCTAGGGAGAAGGCTTGTGCAGAACAGCTCCTCTGCTGCATTCAGTCATTCCAATACCTGGGATAGCACTAACTAAGGCATTGCACAGAGCTGTGATCTGTTAACTTCACCTTACAATCTTAATGCTGCACTTAAATACACAATCCAGAAATAACCATGGAAAATTTTAGTTCATCTAGTCACGATGCATGCTTCAGGACTTCTGCAAACTATTTTCAAAATTCAGGCTTCTCTAGCAACCTCCTCTCTCCTCCCCCCCATCCAACTGTAAGAAAATTCCAAATAAGTTTAAAAAAATTTGTTATTACGAAAAGATTTGAGATGCACTTCAGTTTTGTTATTACATCCAAGACTAAACAGCTTGTTTGGAAGATGTTTTTCTGCCTTAAAACTGCAAATGTAAAAATGCTGAGTATTCAGAATTTTGGCTTGACATTCACTGAAATAATTACATCACAAGTGAGCTGAATAATTCAGGGTAAGGTTTTTTTTCAGTCAAACATTTTCCCTAGCCTGCCTTATTTAGCTTTAATTTCAGCAGCTAGCAGTTATGAGAGAGGAAATCTTGACTGAAAAGCCTATGTCCTTTTCTGTATTCCTGGAAGTGTTAAAATTCACAAATACCCTTATTTGTAATTGAAACATCTGAAGAGTTCAAACTTCAGATTTTTTATGTGTTCCAATGTTTTTAAAAACTTCTTTGTTAGTTTTTGTACATATATATTCAATTTGCAGGCTTTCTAAATAGGCATGCCACTGAAAAATGGATGTGGGGGGACAAACACACCTTTTTCAGGCCAAATTACTCAAAAATAGTTCAGTGCATTTTGCTGATGTCACTACAGCTATATGTTCTAACTCACTGTTTGCTCTAGCGTGCAGCATATACAGAGCAGTCTAGCCAAAAGTGGGGATTAGGAAAAACACTAGTCATTGCATAAGCATCCTTTTGTAGGTAAACTTAATTTTTTTATGCTCTGTTTTGAGGGTAGATTTTAGTATTTTGAGAGAATGTATTAAGCTGTTTTTACTGCTAACTTGATTTTTCTCTAAGGATAATATGTCATTATTGCAGCATGGCAAAGGTCTGCATCATTCATGTCTGCTCAACTTAATCACTGGTTTTCTCCTTGTGACAATACATGACGTTGTACCAAAAGCAATCTATCCTGTGTGTAGTTAGCAGTGGAAGTAATTACTGTGCAGCCTTTATTTTTGTTGTCTTTCCATTGGCTATCACTAGTGCGGATTGTATGCACTGAGAGTTGCGCCAGGCTATTCAAGCTGCTGAGGGTAAAAAAGGTCCCAAGTAATATTTGTTTATTTTCTGGAAGCTGCTGCTGTACCTTGAAAGCGGAGATGGGTTGCATCTGATGCTCCATTAAGCTTATTTTCTTCCAAGTCTGTCATCAGAATACATCCAGATCTAGAGAGTTTCCCTGGACTTGCTCTGCCACGTTTTTCCCTTTGAAAAAGACCCAAGCTCAACACCAGCATCATTAGAGACAAGGATTATAAGAGAGCAGAAGGGCTATTTTCCCTGCTTGGTTTTGGGATTCTGCTAAACTACGCTCTACCTTATTAGATCCCGGCACTCTAAAAGGAATGGTGGAATACTGCAGCTGATTTTGCTCACTGACTCTATCTCGAAACTAGATAAGCACGCACAGGCGATATGCAATGCATGCAAGCTCTCTCTAGTCCTTAAGATCTGTACCTCCTGGCCCCCCATAGCAGTTTTGCACTACTGGCTCTATAAGCAAATCAGCCCTGGATAACTTTCCTTTTAAAGAGGGCACCTTTGTTTTTCTTTTCCCGGTGCTCAAAAGGACAAAGTTTGAGGTAGTTTTCTCCCTACCACTTGCATTTGACTGCTAGTGTGCAGTATTCACCGTAATAAAGTGACACTGTGCAAAAATTTTATTGCTCTAAAAATAACAAGAGTGAAGAATTTGCTCCTCTCAGCATGTATTCCTCCTTGCTTTCAAAAAAGCTGTGGAAAAACAACTTATAACTGAATAGCTTTTCTGCATTCTTCGTGCACGTTTTCCTCTGCTGCCTCCTAGTCTTCTCTGATGTGACTTATTTTACTGCTAATGGTGTTTTACAGACTGTAGTACTACAGGTGTCTTACGGTAACTTGCAAATAAAACTATTGTGAACACATGGTCAAGTTATTTGTGGTGCTGCTCTGTAAATGTGTGATGTTACCTTTGCTGTAAATCTTACTGCACTTTCCTGGACTGCACCTAGACTTTGCACAGTCTGTGTCTGTGCCTTTTACAAGAAACCTTTCTGTGACTAGCCTGCACAGCAAAGTGGCTCTGGTAACAAATCCAGGCAACTATAGCATTGACAGCAATTATTTCTAAGCAGTAACTTTGTAACATAATTTGCTAGATGACAGCAAATCAACGCTTATGTCAAACCGTTTGTCAGTAGAGCAATAATATAATTTTATGTAAATATCTCTAGCATTCTGTGTAGCCATTCATTTATGGCTGGAAGCTGATTAGGAAATTGCTGTCGTAGTAGCATTTTGTCCTTGGAGCCTATCAGCTCACGCAAGGACTGTGTTTCCTGTCCAACTGAGAGAGTGCTGGAAGAGAGTGGAAGAGGTTTGACCTGTGTAAAGAGCACAAAGTGCTATCTATGTTTTAGTTTAAAAAAAAAAAAAAAAGCCACAGATACACTGCTTTCTTGCATTCTCTTCATGGTTGGCATGCAGTGAGAAACACAGCAACAAATATTGTGTGTTTGGCTCCAGAGATGTGTAGGCAGGAGAAAAGGTATGGCAGGTGCTGTCAGGAGATGATGGAGACGTGTTCATGAACAATACCACCTTTCTCTTCTAGAAAATAGTCCTGAGGAGATCTAATTAGCAGTCAGATGTTAAGCTCTGCAGAATGACTTGCCTTCCTGTATGCCTGTGTTGTGGAGGACCTATCCTCTAGTTGGTATAGCAGCAGATATTATTTAATATTAGGGTTTTCAAGCTGTTTCTTTGGGGGAAGAATGTTTTAGCCAATCCTATGGAATCCTTTAATTAAATAGCTGAATATTTTGCAGTGTTACAGAGATAAATGACTTGTCATTCATAACTACCTGAGTCTGCAGTGAGCTGTCTTTTATGTATGCTGGTAAAAACACATTCTAATCCACACTGTGGAAACAGGCTCTTTTTGAAATGGATTCCTGTGTAGGGGAGGATAGGGGATAGGTTGCTCGCAGGGAGCGGTCCTTAAAGCTCTTCCTCCTATTGGGGTGATGCTACAGATTCAGCCTCTGCTGTTTTCTCTTCTGTCTGTGTGACTCTGTCCTGTGGTTTTTCCTGTCAGTGCAGACTGAATGCTTATCCTTGTTGATGCCTTGTCCCTGACGGATTAGATTTTTCCTCCCTCCCCCACTCTTAAGTTCACCTGGAAGTAGATTTCCCACCCACTTTGCTTCTGATTCTTTTCTTTTTTTTTAAAGAGCCAGTTATTGTAGAGTTGAATTCTATGCTAGGCAAACAATACCCTTGTGAGATAATAATTTAAAAAATCCCTTAACAAAGTCTTGTTTGGTTATGCTTGCTCTGTTTTGGACAATAGGGTTGATGGAGGTATAAATCAAAATAGGGTTTTTTTGCCTTCCTTGTGTATGCTGTGGTGACTATTGAGAAAAAATATTCTTGTTCTCCTGTCAGGACTAATTTGGAAGAACTTGTTTTTAGAAAGTTGTTCAGGTTTAAGAAACTTTTAGCATATTCATTTTTTTAAATAATTGTCCTAACAATCTGTAGTGCAAGCATGGTTATTTGAGGGGAGGGCATTCAGGACAGGCTGCAGAGGCCCAGTGACAGGCAGCAGTTATGCAACATCTAGTCTCAAAACTGCCCAGGTAGGAAAAAGCAGATAAGAAATGTCAGAACTCTTTTTAAATTAACTGGCAAGCCAAAAATGCAAATTTTTGGCCATGTGTGTGGCCCTTTCTAATAACATCAGTTACATTTAGAGTTTATGTAGTGCCAAATAAATGAGCGAAGAACAAACAATTTGTCCTTTGCCTTCAAGATATGGACAACCAACAGCTGGGCCAGACTCATTCCTCACCCCGCTCCAGATCCTGCCAGTCATACATAGTTTGTTGAAAATGGCTGTTTTAAGGCATGGGATTATATCTGACTACAACTTCCCTTCATGCTATTATTAAATAATTACAAAAATTGCTTTCCGTTCAAATCAATCCTTTAAAGTCAGGGAGGAAGAAGTGACCTCAGTGTGGCTCATGATTTTCAAACTGGATATGACAGCATTTCTGCTCCTCAGCTTTCAACTTCTCCTGTAATTCTTCATCTTATTCTTCCCTTTGTTTTCCTACAACTGTTATATATAGTCATGGGGAACCTGATTGTTTTTAAGATGTTTAAGTGGATTAAGAGGCAAATATTTACTGTGTGGAAACATTTCTCTGGAAGCATTTCCACATTTGATGTATCAAACTGTTTCTCAAAGCAGGAGCTGTGACACAGTAGCTTGTGACCTCTTACCTTAAGAAGGGGTAGTTGAGTTTATTTACAGTAAGCATATTAAGCAAAACATTTAGTTTAAAAAATAAATAAAACAACCACAGTCTTTTTCAGCATAAAATCCTGCCATGCTCATGATAGCTGTTGAATGGAATCGCTGACAAGGAAAATCAACAAACAGGTACTAGAAAACAAAGCATGTCTCAAAAGCAAATAAAAGTAATGCTCTTGAATGAATGAAATCCTTGTGTGGAAAAGAGATTGTCTGAAGGTGCTGATTATAACCCAGGCAGTTTTTGTGGGTAGAGAGGTGGGCAGCAGCAGTGAAGATTGTGGCATTTCTTGTATAAATATTCCTATCTGCAAACTGCCACACTCCTCCTTGAACAAAGATAGCAATTAATTAACCAGGAGAGTCCATTTCAGCTCTGAAGGCGCTTATTCATAATATTCAAGTATTGCCTTGGCATTCATTTACACTGGGAATGGATTCATGATGACTTTTTTGTGTTAAAGCATTGAAATTCTGCATGTATATGTTTTGTTTTTACTTAAAGGTATGAATCACTTAATTTTCACTGTGAAAAGAAGTGTAAGTGCGTTTCAGTGAACCTGCTTTGCTCTGCCTGCTAACTGTAGTTGTATTTGGAGGAGGAGAAGTAAATTATTTGTTTTTCTTTCTGAGCGCACCCTTCCATGCCCGGGAATGTCTTAAGAACAAAGCAGTCTTTCAAGTAAACTAGTAAAAATGACAAATTCTCTGTATGGCCTGTCAAGGATAATAAATATATCTGTATACTCTTTGCACCTACTTATACAGTGAATAGCTAGCTAACATCTAGAAAGCCTGAGGAAAACAGATACATAAACCCAACTTGTGCTCTCCTGTAAACACACTTCCTGTGTCTTACAACTAACCCATGGGCTCTCAGCTCACAGGGCTCAGTAGTTAGTAGCAATAACGATGCTACTGAGGGAGATGTGGTTTTTCCAATGGCACGTGGTTTATTAGGTCAACCCTAATACAACAAAGTCAACCCTGGGTTCACTTAACCCAGTACCCTGTCTCCTTCAGGAAGCAATAGCACTGTCAGAGGTGCTCTATCTGGTATTCCCTTTACCTAATTTTCCCTTTTTTCGTTTGTTGTCCCCTGTAATCAGTTAATTTCCTTTAGTCCTTTCCCTTGGGTTCAGATTATCCTAGGTTCAGATTAATGCCTGGCCTTAAATGGAGAATGGATAATCCAATTGGAACAGTGGCCAGCTGTGGATGCCCAGGGAGAATAAGGCAAGCACAGTTGTACTTTTCCAGAATACTTTCTGGATCTGTAAAGTTTTGTGACTCGAGTGATATTTTCATATTGAATAGGTCTAATTAATAGGTTTGCTTAGATTTTTATTTGCCTTTTTATGGCCTAGCCACCAAGGATCATGAGATCTTTCTGAAATTCTTTGCAGTTCTATTCTAGCTTTTGTTAAATGCCAGTCCAGCTAACGCAGGCAGACTAGTTCAGGTTGGAAGGAACCTCTGAAGGTCACTTGATCCAACCAGCTGACAGCAGTGAAGATACAGTGACCTGGACTGTAGAAAACCTACTCAAGGAGGACGATGAAAATCCTTAGTTCTTACTTGCTTATGCTTCACACTGCTGACTTTTGCAGGTCTTTTGAAATGCAATAACTGGTAAGGTCCTAGATCTAGGAATGGATTTTACTCTTCACTTTTGTATTCACCTGTAAATCAGTCACATTGGCTTGTACGCTATACAGGGTATTACCCTTCATAACATACTTTTTTTCTATTTTGATTGGAAGATCTTGAATTAGAATGTCATTTACTTTTGTAGAAAGCTTTTAGCTATTGCAGGCATGCAAACAGTAAAGGCCCCTCTGTGCTGTGTAGGCTGCCCTTGCTGGCATCATGACAAGGGTAGCTGGGTAGAGCACAGTAAAGTGCACCGCCATAGCTTGTGCCATTCTTGCTCATGGGCAAAGCTCTCATTCTTCCTTCTGCTATCAATTTGCACTTTCCAAAACTAGATTTCACACAGACAGACAATGTATAGCTTAGAAACAGAAAGCCATTTTGTGTAACATTCACTATTAATTTTGCCGGCAGGTCAAATTTTTCAGCAACAGGGTCACATAGTCCTCAAAGAACAAAAAGAACAGATACGATTGGCCCAAGTAAGTATATAATGATACGTTTATTCAGCCTCTCACTAGAATCTTTGCCTCTATAAAAATCCAAATAAAAGCTGTTAAAGGAAAAACAACTATAGCTTATACCTGTGTGCCTAAGTTCTCCTGCATATTTCAGTAAATCTCAAACTGTTTAGATTATGACCCCCCCATAGTCATGCCATCTGCTGGTGGAAAGTTGTCATGACTATCCTTTATATAAATAAAAACCTTGGTAAATGACCAATGACCAAATGAATATGAAGATTAAAGAACAAAATTTAAAATAGTACCCAGTTTTCTGCAAAAAATCATATAAATTCACTAGAATTATACTTCCAATGGTTATCAAATGCTAGCCTGGTAAGAGTTTAGGGCAGGAACATGGCACTGAAAGACGGGGAAAGATGTATGTTCTGTGGGGTTTTTTTTTTCTTTTTTTTTTTTGTTTTGTTTTTTTAAGCAGCCTGAGTGCACTCCAT